TCAATTCCCAGAATTCCCCAGCCAGCTTGCTGGCTGGGGAATTCTGGGAGTTGAAGTCCACACCTCTTAAAATTCCCAAGGTTGAGAAACATTGAATTCTAGCTAATAGAAATATGAGCTACTGATATATTGGCAGGGAAAATGCCCTTTTTATAATCTGTTTCGGTTCCTGTTTAAAAATCTCATTTGTTTCTGGTGTTCCCAATATCTCCTGCCAGAAATTCCTTAAAATTTCTGTTTATATCCATTTCTGGGCCTATTTTTATTCCTTTCCTCTTTCTTCCCCTCCCTTTCCCATTTCCCATTCTTGTTATTACATTTATCAATGCTGAGGTCGCGTTGACCCTTTAATGCCGTTGTATATATTTGCAGTTTTTATTCAAACCCACCCCATCATGATTTCACACTATTTTTGGAACATTAAGAAATTTGAAGAGGCCAATACGTTTCACATACCAATTTAAATCATCCTCCCCCCGATGCTTTTTTAAAAAGCTGAAAATGTTGTCCATCCCAAATTGTTTTCAAAAACCTTCACAGCTAGGCTGCAAGTGTATTTTGTCCTAATAAGATGCTTTTGTTATATTTTTGTGCTGGATCCCAATTTCTGAAGCCAAGAATAAACCCAGGAGGAACACTAGCATTCACTTTTCCTTCTTAGCCCCACCCAGAAAGAGCCAGGCTCCGCCTCAGAACTCTATATGCCCCACCCCCTGTGCTACAGTGACTCCTCCCCTTCTCCTGCTAAAGATCTAGTTTTAAAAAAAATAAAAATAAATAATAGGTTGTCCACAGGGAATGACAATGATAAATTGGGAACATGGTACTTATTGACATACGATTGACGTCTGGAGAGGCAGAGCAGAATTCCTACAAGGAGAATAATAAACCCTACGCAAATAACTGAGAGCAGGATTTCAACTTCCCCGTAATCTGGAGAGGAAGGAGAGAAGAAGATTTGGATTAAAGAGGATTTCAAGAACTCACATGTCCCTTTTTTAAAAATAAAGATATAGCCTTTCAGGGGTGGGTTCACGCAACACACTAAACCAGGCTAAAATAGGGGTGGTTGAATTCTTGTCTCAGCAGGCTGTGTGAACAGCCCCACCGTTAAGCCATCCTCAGGTTGCCGATGATGGAGATTTGGCAATTGTGCTTTGGTTACCTGGCTTGGGGTTAAATGTGTTGTGTGAATGCCACTGACCTGCAGGATTGAGAACAGGCCAGGAAAACAGCTTCTGGGCCATTCTTAGACTTCCACAAGAATTTAGTAGAATTAGATTTTTCATAGGGTTGATAAAACATAAACAGCATAGAGCAGTGTTTCGCAACCTTGGCCACTTGAAGATGTGTGGACTTCATCTCCCAGAATTGCCCT